GGTAGGTGATTGTGGTTTGGGACAACTGGGCTTTATGAGGGGATGCATGGTAGCCCTGGCCGGACACCGGGGTAGAATGAGAAAAGAGTGAATGGGGGAATTTAGTAAGATGCAGTGAGGTGGCTAATGGCTGTGAGATTAATCTGTCAGCCCCCATAATAGAGACTGAGGAGGGGACAAGGGTCCCAGCGAATTCGGAGAGGGCAGAATAAGTGGCCCCAGTGTCAATTAAAAAGGAGATAAGGCTTACTTGCCACCACAGTCGTTCCCCGAGGCTCTGTCCTGGTGATGTAAGTCTGTGGGGCCCTGTCAGAGCCTGGGCAGCTTCTTCAGTGGCCAGTCCCAGGAGGTCTGGGAGCTCCAAACCAGATCCAGAGGGTGGCCATGCTGGACTAGCCAAGGTCCGACCCAGAGTGGCCAGACTGCAGTCTAATTACCAGTGGCCTTTCCTTCCTCACCTTGGGCAGGCCCCAGGCAGGGGTCTCGGGTTTGAGGAGGGCTTGGCTCAGTGTTCTGCCTTATTGCATTTGAAGCATGGGCCCGGAGGAGGCTTAGCCTCTGACTTACCCTTGGTTGGAGGACCGGCACTTCGTTTGCGGTTCATGAGAGTGGTGACCAGGAGCTGGAAGGCCTCCTTCTGGGCCTCAGCCTTGGCCTGATCTCGCCTTTGTTTTTGGATTTGGGTCTCCTCATCTCTATTATTAGAGACCTTAAAGGCCAGGTTAACGAGGTCTTTTTGAGGGGTTTGTTGGCCCTGTATCTATTTTTTGAAGTTTGCAGCATATGTCGGGGGCTGATTGGAATAAAAAATGGGTGTTCAGAAGAAGGGTTCCCTCTGGGGAGATGGAGTCTAAGGTGGTAAGTTTCTGTAGAGGAGGACAAGAGGACATAGATGTGGTGCCAGGTCAGGACATAGGGCTGGGTCAGATTCCTTAGTAAAGGTGGTCGGGTTGGAAAAAGACCTGAGATGCCTTTCAATATGTGTGAGGCTAGACATAGAGAATGGGACGCCGACTCAGACTGTGCCCTCAGTTCCTGCTGCCTCCCTCAGGGGTAGAATGGGCACAGGAATAGAAGAGGCTGTTGAGGAGGGTGGTCTTTGGGTGGCCTGAGAGCAAGTGTTAGGTGGGAAAAGGCTGTTTTGGAGCTTGCATTCTCGAGATGTGGGCTCTCAGGGGCCGGGGAGAGGGTGGTTGCTGGTTAGGAGGGTCTGGGTTTGGGAATCTACTGCAGGTGAGGTAGGGGAAAGGGTGGAGGTTGGTGGTCTGCTGGGTCAAGAGTAGATTCAGGATCAGAGGTGTTAAGAATAAGATGTTTTGTGTGAAGGAGAAAAATCTGATGGGTAGAGTAGGACTGAAGGGTGAAAAAATGCCTGGACGAAGGGAATCTCTGACCATTTTCCATTGCAGTGACAGCAGTTATCTAAATTATATTGCTCAGTGTGTTAAAATTGAAAGTGCTGTTTTCAGGCCATTGAGACTTATTATCTAGTTTATGTTGTGGCCAAACAGTGTTACAAAGTAAAGTGAGGTGGTTGGGCATGATGTCCCCCATGAGTG